GGGGTCAAGCTAATAGGGCGAAAATCCGCTGGCCGGCATGGGCGTCTGACTTTCGGCAACAGCACTATCTTGCCTCTTTTCCATTCCCTCGGCACCTCAACCTCCCCGCGAAGCACGCGAGTGAAATACGCCGCTACTTTTTCGCCTTGGTCCCGTGCACAGAAACCCCTAACTGCCTCATACACCACCCCATCCATGCCAGAGGCCGTCCCCTTTTTGACCCTATCTAATGCTTGTACCACCTCCTCCCCTTTGATCGGCACGACATCGGCGTCGGCGTGGGGCCGGAGGCTTGAAAGGAGGAGGGACGTCTGGGGGGCAGGATCAGCATATTTATGCTCATAGAACTTTTGCATCTCGGCTGCAGCCTTTAACTCTCCCCCTGCCTGTCGCACGTACGTCACTTCTGAGGCCCCCTGCTGCGCCTGCCTCCTTAGGAAAGCGATAGCGGCCCTGTCTCCGGACTTAGCTTTTTCTAGAAGGGCGACTTTATGCGCCGCCCGGCTTTCCCCTCTGAGGGAGCGTATCTCCTCCATGAGGGCGGCCCTCTCCTGGGGGTTTTGTGCGCACTTCCGTCTCCGAATGACCTCCAAGATATGGGGCGGGTCCTTGTATCTCAGGGAAGGCATGCGGTACGAGCACTGCTGGCACGCATCTGCAAAAGCGTCCTGCGTGAAGACAAAATCTACGTCATCATGCAGCGCATCGACTAGTTCCCCTTGGACTACCCACCGACCACACTTATTACGGGGGCGTGCTCGGGTTTCGTACAGTGGCGTGGTACTGCGTACCTGTGCAAACAGCGGGGCGTGATCCGACGGCAAAGCTTGCTTGAGATCTGGGCGTAGGTGGAACGTGGTCCACAGGGCCGGCGCCCGATACAGCCAATAGTCGATTCGACTGCTCCACCCCCTGCCCTGCCACGTATCGCCCACATCTTGGTTATGGTCTAGGCCGTGGGCAATCATGAAGCTGCGAAGATATGGCATTCCTTCGAAGGTGTCTACTTGTAACATGTCCTGGTTGACGTCCGCCCCCAAAAGGACAACGTCGTGAAAGCGCGTATCCCGCAAAGCCTGATACAACACTTCGACCGTGTTTTTCCAGACTTCCACAGAATCCTCCCGCAAAGAGTGCGGCCAGTGTAGCGAGGCTACATGGAACCGTCTTCCCTGTAGCCTAAGTGAAACCAGGGGTCCTATGGGGGTTGTTTCTACTTTGAGGTCCTGTACGGGGACATCTTCCCTGAGGGCCACGGCGGTGCACCGAAAGGACTTTGCTGCATTCAGAGCATAAACCACGTACTGTGCCCCTCCTATCTTGTGCTTGATGGTCTCTACTTCCCCTGCCGGAAGATCCCCCAAACCCCCCAATTCTTGCAAGCTCCAGATTTCCGGAGGATCCTCGACTTGGTCGAGCAGGTCCGATAGTTGCGTCAAATTCTTCCCATGCACATTCCACGTGGCTATTTTGGCCTCGAAGACTGCAGCTCCCCTTTTTCTCTTGCCTGCATCCTACTCCGTCGTGCGGTAGTGTCGCCGGACCACATCCTCGTCGACTTGCAGAATCCGCGCGACTGCCCGAGGATCCAACCAGTAGCCCGTATCATCGCCCTTCCGGTCTTGCATCATGAGCGCTTCCTGCGTGGGCGTCTTAGAGGCTGCTTGCCAGAGAACTTGCTCTCCTTTGAACAGCTTCCCCCCCCAGTCCAGGTCAATGTCGGCTTCGGGAATGTGCTGCTTACCTAGGTCTTTCAAAGAAAGGAGGGCCCTGAGTTTGTTTCTTTCCTGCGGTGATCGGTTTCTGGAAACCCAGAGTCTCACATTTTCTTTCCCAGGGATGCCACACGGGTTGGACTGGAAGTGGTTCTTGAGGGCCTGAATGACTGAGGACTGCGCCCGTCTCTTGCCTGCCATCGTGTCCTCCATATAATGCAGACGGATCCTACAAAATGTCGTTCGTATGCCAGGGATGAAGATGTCCTGTAGGAGTGAACTGCCCGCTAGTTCTTGGAACACCCGCCGTACCTCCTCCTCCACGTCCCCTCGTCTGGCCTCGTCCCATCCACCTATGACGATCTGGAAGTCGTCCCACCGATCATCATCTCCACGCTTTTCTCTCCCCCCCCATGCCCTCCTCCCCCCGTTGTACCCCCCAGGGAACTGCGCGGAGTGCCCGGGCCCAGGCTAGGTGGTCTAGAGCGGACTTCCTGAAGTTCTCTCTCCACCTCGACCAACCTTTGTTCCAGGCGGTCCAATCGCTGCGCTCCCTCGTGCTGGACTTGCTCCATACTCTGCAATCGCTCTCCAAACCTCTCAAAGGTCTCTCTCTGTCCACTCATTTCTCTCAGTACGTTGGTTTGCATCTGCTGAATGGAAAGCATGCCTTGTTGCAGACTCACCACCCACGGTGGCGGTGGGGCGTCCTGTTCCGAAAAATGGTGGCCACCGTCCAGACCCACGCCGCCCATGCCGCCTTCGCCTCCCCCCCCCTCGCCAGAGGCCAACGGCCCACCGACCCCAACTCCATGGCCAAACATAGGGGCCGGCTCCAGCCCTCCCCCACCCGTCTTGATCCGCTTGGGGCTGGTCTCAGTTCTGGACGCTCCCTTTCCCCCTACGCTCGTCGGTCCGGAGAGGAGGGCCGCGCCCCCCAACCCCACAGCGGCATAACTGGCCATTGTTTGGTCGGCCAGCTCCGCCAGCGCCCCGCGTCCCCGCCCCGATCCATCCCGGCCCTCTTCACACACGAACTCTACCTCGTCGTCCACTTCCCGGGACATGGTGATCAGTCGGCTCAGAGAAAAAGGGGGAAGCCCAAGGGGGGGGGGGTCGAGGTTGCCGACACGGAGGTTTTGGATTTTCCAGGGCTTATACTACAGGCAAGGGGTCGGGACTTACCTGAAACCCGATAACCAGTAACCCTGGCCCACTCGAACCTGGCTTACTTCCGATAGCTTGAGCCAAAATGGCTTGAGCCAAAATGGCTTGAGCCAAAATGGCTAGGGTTTAGGGTTTAGGGTTTAGGGTTTAGTCCATTTTTTGCCAGACCCTCAAATGAGTCACTCCGCAGGGTTTAGGGCTTGGGGTTTGGGAAGAAAGTGCTCGAGCTCCTTGAAACCCTCGCGTCTGCCTGGTCATATACACCCTTGAGCATCTAAGCGCCCTCGCCGCCAGGCAGCCGTGGCTGTGAGCGAAGATGACCAGGGGCCTTCCGTCCAACTCACTCTCTCTCTGTCCCTCTCTCCCTCTCTCCCTCGCGCGCGAGGCTCTGAAAGAACTTATAAGCCCTCAGCCCATTTTAACTACAGGCCCCATCCCTTAATTGACCGTACAAACGCTATAACCCCAGAAGCCAGACCCCTACAACTTGAACCCTGCAGATGGTGCCCTGCCTGCTCTTCAACTCCGGCGTCTCCACCTGCGAGCTCCGATGCTATCGAATGGCTGAGGGCGGATTGGGGTTTAGGATCCAGGGCCCATCAGGGCTTAGGGTCTGGGAGGAGTAGGGGGTCCGAGGGCGAGGAGGCGAGGCACAACCCATCCCATCACAGCAGACTCATCGGGGTCGCTGAGAAGTCTAGTGGATGCTTGTGCATCACGCCACTTTCTGGCAGACTTCGCTGAATTAGCTGCTGCACTGGGGAACTGCATGTAGGACTCTGGCTGAACAAGCGATGCGCGTGCGCAGCAGGCCTGCTTCTGAAGCTCACCCAGATACTCCTCCCACTTCGAGCACTTCCTGCACCAAGGGCGTCGACACACTGCGAGCAAAGAACTGGGAACTCGCCCGAGGTCGCCCCAGGCAATAACCCGCAAACCACAAACCCGAAAAGCCGGAGGGCACTTCTGGGACTTATGACGAAGCAAGTTGGGTTGGGAGCTGGAGAGTTTGCTGAAGGTTATCTGGAGGCATTCAACCATGTCTTGCTGCAAGGCCTATACGGCTCCTCAGTCGCATGGTCGAACACCTTGGCCGACACATACTGACAAGGAGTTTGCGAACACACACATGCAGCGTGATTTTTCGTAGATATACGTAGCCTACGGGTGCGTCTACATTGTCTACATGGTTTCCTTCAGGTCACAATCGAGTATTTCAAGTCTGCTCGCTTGCCATTGCTTCTCTCGCAACGCTTGGCCGACAGATGAAGAAAACCCGAGCATTTGACGAAGAACAACCTTGAACTTCTTTGCCAAGTCCTGCAAAGCGCACGTGAAGTTCTTGGCAAGATCTCCCTTGTGTTCATGCCGTTGACTTTGTTCACCTAGACCCAGGTCCCAACCTGGCCACGCCATGCTGCTAAGCTTCCTTAGTGGTCCCAAGCACTAGCGCGCAGTCATCAGGGAGCCCTTTTGCACAGGCGTGCAGGTCTTGCAGGACAGGCGAAACAAATTGGTGCAAAAGCGAATGAATTGGTGGCAGGGTCGGCAGTGTATGGTCCAAGTCATGCTGTGCCCAAGAGAGCTTCATAGTGAAGGTGTGCTTCAAAGCCTATACTCCCCTTTTCACCTTAATAAAATAATATGTTCAATATCCTCTTGGGTTCTATATGAGCAAGAATGAAAAATAATTCCCAAGGGGGATATAGAAGCCGGGTTTATAAGATTCCTGCCTTGTCTTGGTCCCTGCTAGAAGCATCCCACGTATGGGGAGCGCGAGTGAGCCAGACAGGGCAGGTAGCAAGCATTGACAGACCATGAAAGAGAACACGCTGTTCTTCGAGGTTGCAGCTGGAGGTTGGCCGTTTCTCAAGGAGATTATCAGAGAACTTACCCTGGCCCCTAAACCCTAAACCCTAAACCCTAAACCCTAAACCCTAAACCCTTATAATGATGTTTTCTTGGAGGCAGGAGCCTCGGGCTTCCTCGAGCTTCGCAGGCCAAGTTCACATTTTGCGAGGCTTATCCTGGGCTCCCGTCAGCCTTTTTGAGTCGCAGACAAAGGCTCTTCTAGGGTTTAGGGTTTAGGGTTTGGGGTTTGGGGTTTAGGGTAGGGGCTCACCAATGCGCGAGCCATACGACGACTGCGGTGACCACACCGGCAAAATAGATGTAGCGAAAGGCGATGTCGACCTGGAGAGAGGGCTGCAGCTCCCAAAAGCTGATGGTCCAAGCCTTGCCAGGGTTTAGGGTTTAGGGTTTAGGGTTTAGGGTTTAGGGTTTAGGGTTTAGGGTTTAGGGTTTGGGGATGGGCCAAGCCTTGCCCGGCATGTACGCGTGCACATTCAGCAGCAGCCGCTGGAAATCCTTGGCCACCAGCATGTCCTCATGAACGTCCAGGCGATGGAAGATCTCACGGACTTGATCCATGGAGAAGTACCTGGGTTGGCTGTAGGAATCAAAAGAACGCAGCCGCTTTGTGCTCACAAGCCAGACCTTGAATCCAAGAAGCACTCGACGGGGTGGTTGGAGATGGGGGTGGCCACGCCCTAAACCCTAAACCCTAAACCCTAAACCCTAAACCCTAAACCCTCAACCCTAAACCCTAAACCCTAAACCCTAAGACCCTACACCCAAAGCCAAAAGCCAACCCCGAGATGCCCCCCTGTGCTTCGGAAGACGAACAGATTCCCATATCGCTTCACTCAAGGTGTGGTATTTCGTTACGTATTCTTTTTTGGGGGTTTAGGGTTTAGGGTTTAGGGTTAGGGTTTAGGGTTCAGGGACTGGGTAGGCGACCTTGATAACCTTTTTGGTTACATAGAACCCTAAACCCTGAACCCTAAACCCTCCCTCGGCGCTGGCCCGACCTTTCAAAAGGTTATATAGAACCCTCTAAACCCTATAAACCCTTAAAGCCCTCCTAGGCGCTATAGGACCCTAAACCCTAAACCCTAAACCCTAAACCCTAAACCCTAAACCCTAAACCCTAAACCCTAAACCCTCTCCTAGGCGCTGCCCGAGCTTTCGAAAGCCCAGCTGAACTTCTCGGAGCCCGAGGTCTCCGGAGTGGTCGCGGTCCTCGGCTTGCGGAGGCCTCTGAGACTCGGGGCCTCTGGGAGAGCAGAAGTGGGCTTTTTGAGGTTCTTATAGGGTTCTTAGGGTTTTTTGTTGGAGTTCTTTAGGGGTTGCTGCGGTTTTGAGGGTTCTTGGGGATTTTAGAGCTCTTTAGGGTTTTGAGGGTTCTTAGGGTTTTGAGGGTTTTAGGGCTTAGGGTTTCGAGGGATTGCAGGGCTTGGGGTTCTCTGAACAGAAGCTGCCAGTAGGCAACTTACAAAGCCTCCGCTAGTGACGCCTGTAGAAGGTGGAGGGAAGAGGGTGCAGGTTGCTGCTCTTCAGCTCAACAGCAACACCACAAACAGATTCCACACTCCTACCCTGAACCCGGCCATAAGTCCTAAACGGTCCTAAACCCTAAACCCAAAAACTTAAATCTCCTAAACTCTACCAAGAATCGAACATGGCGTAGACTTGAGCGATCTGCTTGGCGAGCTTTTGGGCCTGGACAGCAACTATGACTACTGCCATTCCATCTACGATGTTGGGTACACATACTTCTTGAAAAATCCATATCATGTGACTGCAGCCATATCCGCCATCATCCGCCCAAGCGGCCGGATCGAGGTCCGTGTCTGCGAATGCCTGGCTCCTCCTCGATCGCAGCTCTGTAGCTTCTGCCGGCCGGCCACCCGCCGTACCCCGCAGGGCCTTCGTGACGCTATTTCTTGCTTTGAATGCAAGACGGCAATGTAATGAATCAAAACTACCAACAACTAGTGAACATCAAGAAAAGCAAAACTATGGCAATAACAATCATCAATATGTACATGGCAGCAGGAATCTTTTGCGGTGAGGCCACTGGCGAAAGGATCCAAAACTACCGAGGTTGGGAGCTGGATCAGGGCTTGGGTTTGGGGCTTAGAGTTTAGGGCTTTGGGGCCCTCATTTGTGCAGCCCGGGCCTCAGACTTGTCTCGCGAAGGAAAGACCAACGGCGTCTTGCAAGGCTCGTGGTTGTGGAACTCATGTTCTTGCACAGCCGCATCCTCATCATCGGCTTTCTTCTTCATTGCAGAAGCCACGGTCTTGAAGGCTTCGAACTGTCGATCTCTCGCTGCCTCGACATGCATTAAGAAGGACACCAGGCCGTACTCGAAGACGACGGACAGGCTGAACATGGTCATCAAAAACAGGAAGCTCGTCAACCACGTCAGGTAGTTCAAGGGCGGCAGCATTGTCGTGACACTATTCTGCAGATTAAGCATGATGAGCACGGGGATCACGGCAATGGTGACCCGAGCAGGCGCAATAGTCCGGTTGATGAAGAGCCCAGCCCACGCGACGAGGGAAAACAAAATGCAGGTGGAGAAGATGAATAGCAGATAGGCACTATGTCGTCGCTTGAGATCTAGATAGATCCAGACGTACCTGTAGCCTCGACGATTTGCGCCAACGCCAAACCATTCGGTTGTAACTTCCCCGAATACTTTGGCCAGCTCCCACTCGGTGGTGCCATCGTACCTCGGCTTCAAACTGCCTCTGTGAAAGGGCAACGGGCAAAGGTTAACGGCTGCCCTAGACTGCCCTTTTATCGAAGGGTTTCGGGTTTGTTCTTTCTCGTTGCTTCTGTTTGTTTATAGGTTCAGCATTTAAGTTTCAAGGTTCTAGGGCCAATTTTATTGTGGCTTCAGGTCTAGGCGTGAGGGGAAACATATTTGCCCCATCTCTTCGTCGTTCCCTCCTGAGCAGTCAAGACGCCTTGTGAAACACCGCAAAAACTAAGTTGAACTAATCACAGCAACCAGGAAGAAAGCTGCCCTGGAGCCTTGCCTTCCAAACTATTCTCATCGAGGGCCCAGGTACCCATCAGGAATGATGATTGCGCCGTTGGTGAACGCACCTTGGGAGGCGATGCTATAAGGAGGGCTGGCGGTTGCGCTGTCCGGATCTGAATGGCAACCCTGAAGTCTCGTCTTATGGGGGTGTAAAGGGCTTAGGGGGGTAGGGCGAATTAGTGTGGTGAATGCTTGTGACTTGTTTTGTTGCCTTGCATTGCTCTTGAGGCACTGGTGTTAATGTTCGCGACGTCGGCAGAGTAGGACGCCATCATGACGAAGCATTGCTGCTCGTCGAAGGGAAGGCGCCCAAAGTGCATAGGGCAGCGCAGCACATGGTTGTAGCGCACTGACCGGTAGACACTCCCGTCTGGATACAGGAAGAGGGAGCCCGCTCCGTACCATTCATTCAGCGAGTTATCGAAGTATATGTCCTGAGCATCCAATGATGCGATTTTACCAAACTGATGCAAGGAACAGGGGGCTGTTAGGAACCGAATGAACCCCGAGCATCCGGTTGCCACACGTTGTCGACAGGAAGTGTCAGCGTGATAGTTGAGGCGCCTCGGCTCGGAATGAGGGTTTAAGGTTTAGGGTTTTAGGGGTTTAGGTCTCTGGGAGCCTTGAACCCGCGCAACCTGGCTGCGCTCGCATCTTGTAGAAGCCAGGCCCTCCCACACCAACTGCTAGCCTCCTACCCCTCGTTGGCACCCTAAACCCTAAACCCTAAACCCTAAACCCTAAACCCTAAACCCTACACCCCCTCCCTCCCCGCAACGAACTGCAACCTGGGACTCCTTGAAGATTAGTTGTCCAGTGTCCCACGGAACTACAGGTTAACTTCTGGGATTATCAAGGACCTATCATACCCCCAAAGAGACTAAAAGGTTCCCCCTTGCTCTACTAAGAACTCCCAAGGAGCAGGGGTCGTCTTGCGCCAGCCGGGGGTCGGTCCACTCGGCCCGAAAGTACCCCTCCACGGAGACGTGCTGCAGCTTTTGGTCGATCTCGGAGATGGAGGCGACGTACCTCTTTTTTTTCTTCCCCCCCCTCCCCCCCTCCCCTTCCCTTCCCGGCTACTCTACACCTCACTGCCCCACCCCCCCCCCCCCCCCAACAAGTCTACAAGACTCAGCCCAAACCCCCCCCCCCTGCCCCCCCCCAAAAAAAAAACACTGTATATACACCACACGCCCGCCATTGCCCAACTTTGCCCAGCGCCCCCACGCTCAAAATTCTCACGAACCCTCAAGTTCCCTCAGTTACTTCAGAAGTATAGGGTTAACAGGGTTTAGGGTGTAGGTTCATAGGGTTTAGGGTTGTTATGTAAGCCAAAGAAGCGTAGGCAGAGTGGGCCCTTGACATCCTACGCAGCATGAGAAACTAGCCTGGGAGGTGCCTCTGACTCTGAAGAACCTTCCTGAGGTACACTGAAACCCTAAAGTTGGCCCTAAATCCGACCCTAAACCCTAAGTCTTTTTAAGGTAGTACCTGAACCCTCAACCCTAACCCCGGAAGGTAGTACCTAAACCCTAAACCCTAACCCCTAAATCTTCCTAAGGCGCATCTGCACCCTCACGTCCACCGGCAATCCCAGCTCCAGGTTTGGACGCGTGGACGCATCGTAGGGAGGTCCGGTTAAGTTCGCCAGCCGCTCCTTCAGGGCATCCGGTGTCTGAATGCTTTAAAGACCCTACGGGTCCATGTACCTGTATAGTACATACTTGGGCCTTAAAGGGCTTCCGAAATAGCAGCTGTAAGGCCCAAGTATATTCTATGTAGGTACATGGACCCTTAGGGAAGAGGTGTTGGAAGTAGACTTCGAGGTAGACAGTTCTGAGTTATGAGGATTTCACAACACCTCTGAAAATTAGACCCCTAAAATTCTAAACCCTAAGCCCTAAACCCTAAACCCCCTATCCCCTTTTTCTTCCGGCCCTTGAGGGCTCTGTTCGGCGTTTTCGGCAATTCCCAAGGCGCTCCGACTTGGTAGGGCATCTGGCAGCTAACGAGGCCCTGGCCCAAACAACCAGAAGGAGCCACGAGCACACCTTCCCAGACTTGCTGGGAGGATTCAAAAAGCAGAACCCCCAAATAGTACCCTCCCTAAACCCTGAACCCTAAACCCCAAAGCCTAAACCCCCCTATTCTACTACTGTTGGGTCCCCAAATAATACCCCTTTCTACTACTGCTGGGTCCCCAAATAGTCCCCTATGCTACTACTGTTCGGTCATTCTTAGGAACCCTTCAAGGGATCTACTTGTTGGATCCTCCAGGGCCCCGGGGTCTGGGTTGGTAGCCCAGAAACCATATTACCATAAGTACCCATTTTGGGGGTTGGTTACTAAACAAAGAGGGAACCCAGGGCCAACAACAAAAAAGGGTCAACGGGTTTTTCTGGGCTACGCCAAGACACTCCCAAGGCACGGGAAAAGCTCATCTCACTGCAGGGTTCCCCAGCTTCTTGGGGCCATTTTGACCCCCCCTCATCCAATGCTCCTTGGCTTGGATGAAACTTCGAGCCCGCCTTCGGTCCCCAGAATGGAGCACATTTAGGGTTTAGGGCTTACTAGGGGGTTATCCGGGTTTGGGGTTAGGATAAGCGGGTCAACCCTAAACGAACCCTATTAGCCTTACTTGCTGAGTTCATAAACCCCCAAACAAGTGTACACTCTCAGTTCTATAGGGGATTATCGTATCCAAAAAAGTGTAAAGTGTACTCATTCAGCTACTAAGTAGCCCTAAGTCATTTTGGTGCTCTTGACTGAGGCTGGGTCAGAAGTCCCCACGGCAGCTACAAGCAACATGATCTGGTTGGCTGCGGGTTTGGGGCTGTCAGGCCCGCACATTCTATGGCCTGCATTCTGAAACCCTGTAAACACCGACGTCTGCCACAAAACAATGTAGTCACAAAAACCTGAGGAATCAAACGCTTGATCACGAAAACCTGGAAAGCCAGACGGGACACCTACTTCTCCAGTGTTTTTATGGAGCTAAACGCGTCAAAAGTACTTTGCCACTGGACTGAAACATGGATTTGAGGCTTATCGTTTTCTGCCTGTCCACTTGTGTCGTTGTTCACTTGCAGAAATTAATCGCATTGGGGTTACACCTTCTGCGTGGGCCCTATCAATCTGCAGATGAAAAGTTGCTCAAGCACAAACTGCTGTGCATCCATTACCCCAGCTATTCTGACGGCCGTTCATACATGGCATAACCTTTCACAGTACCTATACCCTAAACCCTAAACCCTAAACCCTGGCCCCTTTACTGCCCAAAACGACTCAAAGCTGCTGCGCTCGTCTGCTGTTGCCAGGTTGGCCCTCTAAAGCTTTTGAGAAGACACAGCATACTCATGCCCCAACCCGAAAACACCCTAAGCCCTATAGGGCTCCAAGTATACAGATCATGCCGATCAATTTGGGTCGAAGGTCTGTAAATAATACCTACCTTGGGCTATTTTGAGCCTGAGGGTAAACCCTATAACCTAAAATAGAACAACCCTAAACCCTAAACTCGAGCGGCAAGTTGAACGCCTGCAAGCCGGCCCTGGGCTTCCCCACCAGTTGGGCTCCGAACCCCGCAGCCGCAGCGGCTTCGAGGAAGGACTGCGCAGGTTTAGGGTTTAGGGCTGAGGGTTTGGGGTTTTGGGTTGAAGGTTTGGGGTTTGGGGTTTAGGAACTTGAGCTGAGATACCATGCTAGGCTTATCCTGTAGTAGTGGAGTTGCCATAAGTAGCATAATTTGATACTTATAAGTGACCATCCTCAGGATACTGCACTAAGCAAGCCAGCTGCATAAGGATCGTCGATTACGTGCTATCTACTCCTTCATTGCTTACTGGTGCTGCGGGGAATGGAGCAATTCATGAGTATCTTGTATGCACCCTATGTAACGTTTAGATATGTTTTATAAATTTCACACCTCGCAGCTCCTCCGTTGATGGGTTTGGTAGGGAGTTAGGGAATTAGGGTCTAACCATACTCCCTTACAGCCTTACAGCCTTACAGGGTTATGTATGGGATGTTAGGCACCCGATTCCCAGTTGCCTGCGCGCAGCCAGGCTTCGGGCTGCCGTAGGGTTCCTATCGGGTTTAGGGTTCAGGGTTTAGGGTTTTACCGCCCGCAAAGCCAAGCAAAAATATATACCATGCATTCAGCCACTGCCATAATGAACCCGACAGCCATCCCAAGAAGGCAGCAACCAAACTTTACAGGCGATTCTTCCGAGTGCTGCTCTAACATGCCCAGCCAAGCCCTGAGAACGTCGAACTTCCATGCACACCAAAAGCTCACTCCCCACCCGCCCCGGATGTCTTCGGGGCGCCTTGAGATGCGCCTGCCTCCGAAAAGCGAAACGCTTTTTTGACTTTTTTCGGCTTTTTGGGTTTGCTTTTTGAACTTGGAGGGTCTAAGACTTGACACGTGAGGGCATGATCGGGCGCAACTCTACAGAGGCCCCACCATGTCAGCAACCGATTGATAGGCTTGCAACGATCCAAGGCTGCAAGTCGTATGGGCTTGCTGACCTCGTGTGCCCTGTTGGCTGCCTTACAGCTAGCTAAGGTCATTTCCGAGCTTATCTTATGCCCACACCCTGACCCGACCCCACGCTTTTATCCCATTTTCTAAAACAGTATCCTTAAACCCACCTCACGCCCCAGTACCCACACCAAAGCCACCTAAACAAGCCATACCCTTCCCCAAAACTTTTCTACAATCCAGAATTACCTAAACAATCCAGAACCTTATCCATCTTCAAACCCCGAATCATAACCAATAACCATATCCAAACCTTATCCATAAAATATCCACTCTCCTAACCTGAACTGGGTCTGTCCGCCTAATAATGGAAAACTAACCCAATGTGGGTGTATTTGGGTTCATCGGCAGGTGGGTCTGGCGAGTTAAACCCTAAACCCAAAAACGGAAGCCCTAAGCCCTAAACCCTATTGATGGGGCCGGTCAGACCCTCAATCCCAAATCGTGTTGAGTAGGCCCCATTCCCTTCCACGACTTGGGTAGCCCACAATAAGGGCACCCTTTTTTTGGGGTTGGTTACTTTGATAAGGTTCCCCCAAAAAAGGGAAAAGGGTACCACTGGGCTAGCCAGATGAAGGGCTTCTGATTAGAAACCGAGGACGAGGTCAGTCCTGCCTCATGTGGGATGGGTGATGGGATCAAGCACGCCGGCTTTTTTCGGACATACCATCTTTGAGGTAGCCGGAGCCCGCGCGGCAGCTTTGCCAGTCTTTCATGATGCTGAGCTCACGCGTGTTCATTGTGCCGAGAAGGTCCTCAAATCTCACAGAACCAGGGTCCGCAATCATCTTTGAGGCTTGGGAAGCCAATGTTTTCCAAGCTTTTTTGCCCGACTGCGCTGACTCCCGAGCAATGATCGTGGCACCTTCGTCGAGAAAGGTGGTAAGCCTTTGAATGTCAGCTTCGGCCAAGGAGGAATGGCATACCAAGAGTAGGGCCTGCAGGTACTCCACAGCAAGTTTGTAGTCCATTCTGCAGGTGTCCCTTGCCAGCATCGCATCAATAATCTCCACACTCACTTGCGGCCTCCCTGCCAGAAGATGAGCTTTGGCATATGCAGTGTACCCCAAGAAGTTTGCTTCTACGTGGTGACTGTGTACAAGCAGATGCCAAATTTCATCCGCACGCTTCCAGTTGAAGGAAGCTGCCGCTCCTTCGAGCAGGCCGCCGAGGACCACCTCATTCGGAGACAACCTTTGGAGCATGGTCTGTGTGAGTAGATCAGCTACGGAGGCATGTTGGCCACGCTGCTCGCAAAGACACATTCTGGCCGCATATGTCACGTATGTCTTTTGCAAGGGTTGCTGCTCTGACCACTCCCACAGTTCGTCTGCCCAGGCATAGGCATCACTGCCGATGCGAGCGCACAGCCGCAATGCACTGCTCAAGCCACAGTTGAAGTCTGCGACTGCTGTTGGAGGTGGGCACCCCCATGCACCCCTAGCCAGCTTCAGAGCCTGCTGCTTCCTGATCTCCATAGCTTCCACGGAAGTTCTCTTGCACTTGAGACAAGATGCCAGAGCGTGCAGCAGAATGTTGTTCTCAATGCAGTGAAGCGAAACTCCCAATTCCCTATGCATTGAATAGATGTAGACGAGCTGATCCCACCACATTCCCTGTCCGCATCTTTGCATCGCAGAGCCGAAGATGCTCGCTTC